TATATGATTATCATTGACCCAACACGATGCTAAATTTTTCAGCAAAAAAAAATAATTGACCCGCGATCAAAAAAGGTTGCCGACCACTGCTCTAATCCCTTATAGTCATGGCACACAACAAGACACACACCATCTTTTTTGTTCGCTGCAACACCATCTTAATGGGAAAATGTATTCAAATGTGGAAGGTGTTAAAGAGGACATCAACATGTTTTTTTTGCTTCAAAGCCAATTGATTTCTTTAATCAGGGCATTAACAACCTGATTTTGAGATGGAAAAGCATCATCGATAAGAATGGCGAATATTTCATTTAATAATTGTTTTGTTCTGATATACAAGTTGTTCAGGTTTTTCATCTAAAAAAAAGTGACATTAATTTCTTGACTATCTAATATTAATAAGTAATAAAATATTTCAAAACCATAACCAAAAAGCAGATATTTCACAGCCGTACGTATCTATTATTAGAAACTATATGACTAAATAGAGAAGACTGGTTTTTTGGAACTCAGTTGTGTGACATACGGTGTTGTTAGGTTTAACTAGACAACTTTATGTTTCTTAGAAATTCCATACAAAATGCCGAGATGACTACTAAAAAAATATTACTTATCTTCAAATATCCTTCCTTTTAAATTTTGATAAATAATTCTTTCATTTTGTTTCTCTAGTCTTTTATTAAATATTGACTTAAAGATAATCAAAGTGGTTTGTTATAAATTCCTTTTTTATACTATAAAAAAAAGAATTAATAACAAACTACTCTATAAATAGAATGTTTATAAAATAAAATAATATATATATATATATACATGTTTATATATTAAAAACAAAATGAAAAATGTAAAGGTTTTTAATCTTATTTCTTCATCCCCATAGATAGTGTTTGTAAATAGTCGATAATACTGTTGTCTACTTTTATTGTTTTTCTCACTTCACGCGATTAGAATATTATTTTAATCTTATCTCAAATGTGTCAAATTATTGTTATTTTATCTTGCCTGATGATGGCCTAAGTAGTAGGTTGAAATGTTGCATGGCCATTTTTATATATACGTGTGTATTTCTCTCTAATAAACAATGAAGTATGATGTTTTTTGTGATTATTAAGTTCTTATGATTTGTCTTGAAATGTTGAATGAATGATAACTAACCAGTCTTTCCAGCAGCCCTGCTTTTTCTACTTTATTTTAAAATGTCCTATCATCCCTAGTTTTTTATCAAGTAATATGTAGACATTTTTTAAATATTATGGTACCAATTATAATAGGTTGTTTTTTGCTTGTCTTTTTTTTCTTTCCAGTGAAAATATATTACAACACAAATCATCTGATGACTGATTCTGCCACAACTTATCTACAAAGTTCCATATCTCCTGTTAGGATGGTATGAAATCTGCTGCTGTTTAAGGGCGAGAAGATGGGATTATAATTTATTTACAGATAGTTACCCAACTTAGCCTGAGGGAAGACAGTTGAATTACTTTTGCAGCAGTAGCATTGCATACTAATGCTGCAGTTTCATTATTTACTGTAAACTAAAAAATGACAGCTATACAATGGTTTCTCTCCTGGGATTATAGCAAGCAGGCTTTTAAGGCTACCCTTACAATATTTAAGGCCTGTATATTGGTACTGTAAATTTGATAAAAATAATGAAACTAATGTAGGTAACATTTTAGACTTCATGCACCTAGATAATGATTAATTGAATTAGTTGTAAAGCTGTGAAGAATTTTAGAAGTAATTTAATGTTTGTCTTACAGGTAATAATTAGGTATACACTTGGTAAAACAAAACATAATTTCAGCTGGCTTGAAAAGAAGGACAATAATTGACCGTGGTGTAAAAAAAAACTAACATCAGAAGGTACTGGATATTGTTTTATTTGATGCTGGACTAAAACAGCTAATCATGTTAATGGACAGAAACACATAGACAATGCTAAAATCAAACCTAGCAAATCACAGAAGATTTTGTGTTTTTAGGTGGAGAAAGTAGTAGTAAAGCTAATGGAGACATTAAGACAATGACAAAGCCAACAGTAGCCTCATGTAAAAAATAAATGCAATGAGTTAGTTTCATGATTTTTAAAAGTTGCTTGCTGTTTGTGGATATTTCTATAGTTCTTGAGATGGACCACCGAATCATTTCAAAAAAGTTTTCTGTTTGAATTTCAAAGTACTTGACAATGAGTAAAGGCAAGATTTCTAATAGGATTTCTGATGGGCTTGGTTCCATACTTTAGGAAACAAATTAAGAAGTTTGTTAAAAGTAAAAACAACATATACCAAAAGTGCAGTTACTGTGAAGTTTTAAAAGGCTTTTATGTTTAGACTTGCTAAAGGAAATGATGTTGGTGAAGCATTAATCGACAAAAGAAGGATATGCACTGCCTCTTTCTTAACGTATATCATTGGGAAATGATGGTCCTAATATTGATAAAAGAGGTTGGAATTATGTTCACAGTTAGTTGAAAGAATCAGGATTTCCAGAATTTACAGACTTTATTCCATGTACAATACATGTAGTTTATAATATCTTCAGAAAAGGCCTGTGTATATTTGTTGAAGAGACAGAGCAGTTAACTGTAGATGTATTCTGTTGCTTAGATCCCACAAGGAGGATTTTAAGGATACTTTATCTAAATTAAGATTGGAAGAAGCTATGCTTATAAGACATGATCAGTGCAAATAGCTCATCCTTCTTCCTGTGCTGAAGAAAATTGAACTACAGTTCAATATTTACTGAAAGATTTGCCAACTAGAGCAAGAAATGAAAAAACTGAAGAGCTTCTAATGAAAAATTGAATAGTACAACAAAATCTGTGAAAAGTTGAAACAGCAGTCAACATCAAGAACCTTTGATTCATCTTCTATATGATAAGCAATATAATGAAGAAAATCATTAGATAAAAAAGGCAGATGTGATTGGGAATTCGCATGGGAAGATGCTCCTGAAAATTGATGTTACAAAGCCAGAAAACTGTTTGGGAAAGGACATTGAAATTGGTGTTGAATGCCATAAAAAAATTCTAAACTAGAAACTACTACAGTAAAAAGCATTGAGACTAGAAATGAGAAGGTTCCTGCAGGAAATGTCAATATAGTTTTGTAAGAACCTGCCACTGGATAAACCTATAATCAGAAATTCCCAGTTGTGGCATCCAGAACTGAGAGAACATGAGATGGTAGAAAGATGTGTCAGGAAAGTGTATGAATCATTAAAAGAGGTGAAGTCCATTTTGTCAAATGTGTGTGGAAAGTCCTTCATGAGTGAACATATTCCAAAGGAATGGACAACTAATTAGAACTGACAGATAGTGGAACAGTGTCGTACAGAGCAAAAGTTTAACTAGTATGTTCATTTGGGAAATTTTGTCAAAACCACTCTTTGTATAGTTCATGGAAATGCAGATGTTGAAAGAAGTCCTTTAACGAACAAGAAAGTCCTAACAGAAGAAAGAATGCCAATATGTTGTACAGTGGAAAAATCTCTGATGTTCCTATAACCCAAAGTTTACCCAAAAAAATCTCACACTAAATATAGAAACCATAATGGACAGCAAAAATCTGGTGTGGAACTCCTAAAGAAACAAAAACAAGAAAGTAAGGAGAAGCTAGAAAGAAAGAGGAAACTAATAAAGAAAAATTAGAAGAAAAAAGCTTTCAGAGAAAGAATAGAGGTAAAAAAAGAATAAGATAGTTCCAAGATCAGCTGCAGAATGTCACTCAAGCATTTGAAGATTTTGTGTAATAAAATACATTTAAAGCTTTCATTTAACACATGACAGTGATGTTGTTGCTGGTGGAGGTACTTGGTAATTGAATTTCAGGGCACACACATATATGTATGCCAGTATCTTAAACTTGTTTGCTAATAACTACACATATTTCTTTATAAGTCATCGAATTAGTGTTTACCTAGGCCTGGTATAGTCTGATGGTTAGGGTGCTCGACTCACAATCTGCAGGTCACAGTTTGAATCCCAATCACCGAATGTGCTCACCATTTAGGGTTGATGTCAGGGCTAGCCACCTGAAGGTAAAATGTCTTGGCTGATATACAAACTCCCAAGTGGCTGACTCTAAACTAGATGGGATTATAGTCGAACGAAGAAGAAGAGATTAGTGTTTTACCACCTGTATTATCATTTCTGCTACACTTATGCATATCAAATAATATCATTGAGATGCTAATCTATTTGCTTGAAACATTTTCAGTCTGATTAAATTCTTAAATAAAATATACATGTTAATTATCAGCTTTAGTTCTAGTTAATATCACGCATTCTTTACTAGGCTAATGGCCACATGATTATAGCTTTTGTTATATTCTATCACAGTGTTTTATAATAATTGATACACATGTATGATCGTGTCGTTATACGGATGTGGTTGTTACCTAGTTAATATTTTAAATTTGAAAGATGCATTTTTTTATTTTACTCTTACTATACTGTAAAAATTATTAGAAAATTAAAATGCATTGTAATTTCATTGTAGATGTACATAAAGCCAAATAATTGTTTTTGTGTATTTCATTGAAATTCATTAGATGTAAACCAACAGAAATTTCATTGTAATGTTTTGCCAATTTCTCAGTCTTTAAGATGTATATAAGGTACTTGGGCTCATACATGTTAATAATTATAATTAGTTGATTAAATTTGCTTTGGTTTACATCTTGGTAAAAGTCTGACATTTTATTTTATCTGCATATGTTAATGTTCTAAGCTAAATGTTTTTTTTTTCTCGAGTGATGTTCAAATGTAAAAGAATAATATTAAAAATAAATTTCAGGTTTGTTCTTGTAGTCTGTTACAAAGATTGTTTTCATGGAAAAAGAAGCAGTCTAGATTCAACAAGAACAATGTGTGAGTAGGGATATGATTTTATTCCAGAATCACAAGTGTTTCTTTACCCTAATTTCTCAAAGGGGAGCCACAAGTTTTAAACTTTGTGCCATAATTGGTGTGCTAATTTCACTCTGTTTTTGCACTACCTTACCTCTTAGTTTGTAATGAATAGTGAAAATAAAGTTGACTGTCTGTAGGAGATAAAAGTCTCTAGTCTGTTATTTGTAATGGTAGTGTTAAAATTGAAAAGGTAGCCTCTATTGTTGGAAAACTGATATGTGAAGGTTCTGAATAATGGCATTTTCTATTCCAACTCGAATATCTGGTCTTTGATATACTTAATGTAAAGACATACAGAAAATCCATCTGAGTTCATGTGGCAAACACTTTGATCCACTGGTAAAGACTGTTTAATTCAATGGAGAATTTTAATGTTATTCAATAAGTTTGGTAAGTTTCAGTCTTTAATTCATGCAAGTGTTTTAACCTGTAATGGACTAAACAAAATCCTGCTATGACTAGGGTAAAACGAAAGCAATTTATTACAGTATAACAACAGAATTCCAAAATAAAACTTTCAAACAACTAGAATACAAATTTTATCATTTATAAAAAACAACTATTAAACCTGTAACTCGCTAGGATTAGGTACAAACATTAATGACCAAGATACCACGAATGTCTAAATTATTAATTTCAATAAATATGAAAGGAATTAGGGAAAAAAAGAACCAGAGGAAGAAAAAACTTAATTCATGATGTACCAAAATGAAACCACTTTTCAATATAAAGAACAATATCAAGCAATAATTATTTTTAATTATATCTTGTGAACTAACTAGTTTTCAAGATCAAGGAAATCTTTTTATTTAGTGGTTAGATCATGAGGTTACATCTGATGTGACTAGTTATTACAATAAATCTACATAATCTTTCAGAACATTAATATCTGTACGTCAACATCAGAAGCTTGTATCAGTATCATAATACATACATACATATTCAAATTCAACATTCTCTAGCTAGAAGTTGAGTTAGCACTTTAATATAACTAAAAATTCATAGTTGAACTAAATGATAGAAGGTATAGTAAATGAACGGTAAAAACCCATAAAATAAAAGTAGAATTCAGTATCTTGTAAACACTTACTACTGGTAGGTCAAAGTGCACATGTCACAATCTTTTACAAAGTTACATTAAAAATCTAATTAAACTACTATATTATCAATGTATATGAATAAACATGACATAGAAATGTAGTAAACAGACTACATTTTAACGCTATATAAGTTTAGTTTCAAAGAGAAATATTTAAATACATTTTGAAACTTCCCTTGTATGTACACCATGAAATTTGTTCGCTCAGATTTGAACATTTTTTTTCATCCCCTCTCTCTCTGATGTTCCAAGTTTAATGTAAATTACTCACTAAAGTATACAGATATTACTAAATCATAATCTAATTTTTATAGATTTCTATCTTTTTCATTTATGGAGATAAAAAGTAGAAAGTCAGATCCATTTGCCATGCCAACCTATCACATCCTCCCTTTTACAAACTGCCAATACTTCTCTCTGATGTTTGCTATTACATCATTTATAAGCAATACAAAGAAAATTTTATAATTAACTGAACAACATATAATGTTCTCAGTAAAGTTTTTAAGTTATTTTGTGTACAGATTGAAACTTGCTATTATTGAGATGTGATTGAGTAGCTAAGGGAATTATTTTATTGCACATATGCCTAAGTTATAAATCCAATTAAATTATAATAGTTATAGGACATTGTTTGCTTTGTGCATGTTATTATATTGTCTTAATACTGCTAAAAACGTTGTTGAACTTATTATCTAAACATTAATAATATTAGGAAGAATATGGAAAAAGTAATTAGAACAACTAAAACTGGACTTAGAAATATAAAAACAGAAAAATAAACATAAATTTGCAAGATAATAAAATAATAGCCTAGTAAAACAATAATTATAAATTATATACATACATAAGGTTGAAGAGGGGGATTTAACAAGGGGGTAAGTTAAATGAGTCTAAAGAAAAGGTTTAAGGGAATGAAATTAGAGAATTGGTTGATGAAGTTTTATAACTATGTGAAAGTAAGACTTTTGTTAATACTGTAAGTAGATTTGGTGTTGAGTTGGAAGATAAGATGGTGTTCATGACTTTCTTGTTTTAACTTGTTGATTGGTGCATTTCTCATGAATAAGACTACCATGTTGGAGGTACCTAGCCCTTAATTAAAAACATTTACCACATCTCTGATAACAGTGCTTTATTTCTTGACATTAACAACCACATTTCATCCTACTCTCTTAAAACCACTAGAAATATACTGATAAGTCATGCTTACCTAGGCTATTGCTCTTTTCATTCCTAAGAAATTTTCTAAAGAGTAGTTCACAATACTGAGATGTTCTGAAGACCAAGACCTTCTCTCCAAAACCACCGAGATGACAGGATTTCTCCAACAAGTAACTACTTGGCTGACATCATCGAAAAAAAAAGCTCACAACCATATACACACCACATCAAATGTGTATTGATATACACATGTATAAATAACCACTATCAATTCTAAAATTTAAATACATTGTTAGAGTATTGAATGTTGATTGAAATACTAAAATCTTTACCATTAAAACTTGTGTATTTGAGAATGATCATAGCAGTGATCAAAATGTCGTACCTTCCTTACTATCAAAGCTGTAACTTGTAATAAAGTAATATTTTCATCAGTATGTTTGTCACCATGCTCCATGTTGAATGTGTATACTTAGAACTTTTGTGTTTCCTTTCAACGATTCTTTTTCAGCCTGATTTCATCGTAACATGGTCTTTACTGCCTGACGAAGGGCATATGCTCAAATGTTACACAAAATAAAACTAGAAAAAAGTTTTTACTTAGATGCATCAACTTATTCTTTATTATCCTTTATTCAAATTATTTTTCTCACGCCTTGCGGAACAACAATCATTCAGTAAAATTAAGTAGAAACAGATGTAGGCTATTACGGGCCTTAAGCTATTTAAAATAAATAATTGTAGTTTTATTTTACAATCTTTAGTCATTCTAGAAAGAAAAAAACGGATAATTTAGATTTATTGCATATTTTTTTGTTTTTGTTTGGTTGTTACAAAGTCAGTATAGAGTTAGGGTAAAGAAAATAACTGATTAAAATATAGTTTTACTGGAAAAAAAAAAGGCTGATATTAATTTAGGAGGTTTTAGAGGTTATGCATTTTAACATGAAAATCACCTTGCACTCAAACTATTAAATTCTGACTTCATATATTCATGGTTACATATTTAGTAGAAATATTTAATTAAAAATTCTGATCTTTTCTGTACAAAAGAACTGTAACCTTTACTAAAAGATACATAAACCACATTAGGTATGGATACTTTCATCATTTCCTGGTTGGTCAAAATGACAGAGCCACATGAGGTGTGTTAGTACAAAAACACTGATGTCCATGGCAAGCATATGGAGTACAGCAGCAGAATTTTTTAGTTCATTAACACTGCCCAGTATATGATGATTAAGTAGTAAGTAATAAGGTTTCACAATGTCTTAAAGTTCAAAGTTACTGGAGAACTGAAAAATATTTTTCTTTCTATATTAGTTGTCTTCAGAACTCGATATATAATTGACCTGTGAACTAATTTTTGTTAGTTAAAGAAGGACGGTAGTTGAGATTCTGACTATCACAAAAAACCAGAATTTAACTCCGTAAAGCAACTACAGGAGGAGGTTCCAGAATATCTATGTAGGAGGTGGAAGTTTATCTTGTTTGTTGTTAAACACAAAGCTACACATTGGGTTATTTGTTCTGCATCCACCACGGGTATTGAAAACTGATTTTTAGCATCATAAGTCTGGAGACTTACTGCTGAATCACTGGAAAGCAAAGCTTGTTTTGACCAATAGCAGTTTAATAATAATGTCAGACCTTTTCCTGTTCGGTATTTTCTGATATACGTGTTGGGATATTAATTTCCGAGCTTGATATTCAAAGTAGTGCTCTAATTTCCAAACTATAACTGTGACACCACCTGTTTGCAATATTGATGATAGTCATTTTGCTGTTGGATGATAATTGGGCTTGTTTCTCTTTGGTGATACTTCTTCACTTGTAACTGGTTTTAAAAAAAATTTTATGTTGAAAATTTGACCTCAGGAGGTATCTATAAACTTTTTCTTTTCTTAGTAGTTAATAGGAGGGTGTGGTATGTGTGTTTGACTTTCTGATTATTACCCTCACCCTGCGATGGTTTTGCAATTGGGTCCATATGTGTCTGTGTTTCTGACACGTATCTCAAAACTAATAGATTGAGGTACACGACAATTTTACACAAGATGGGAAGTCAGTATGTGACATTTCTTCCCAAATTTGGTCCAGATCACTTTGAAGCATTTTTTTATAATTGGGAGATGGGGCATTTTATTGGTTTTTGGTAATAACTGTAAAGTGCGATCAGATTTGTAACAAATTTCATGGGCACAGTAAGGTTGAGGCTTCTCACCACACACCAAAAAAATGATCCAGATCATTGATCATTCTGGATTTGAGAAGGATTTTCTGAGTTTTCGAAGGTGAAATTTTACGTTATATAATATAAATACAAGGAAATCTTGAATAGGAGTGATGGGGTAAGAATGTGCAATCTCTGTGATTGCTGTTATGTATGTAAAACAAGATGATTGGAGGCTATAAAGTTAGATTATGTTTTACAGTGTTTCTTATGTAAGCTTGTAATTTACATTAAAACTCAGAAGCTTAAATAGGGGTGGACAGATTATCTAAGTTGTGCAATTTGGAGCAAACAAGTGTCATGTGATACCGAAAATTTAGTTAAACTATTTTATTATCAATTTATTTCAATAAAACTTAGTTGAAAAATCAAATTTTAATATAATGTAAGTTCTAGTTTCATAATTTTAATACTATATAAGTTTTAATTTATTAATTTCAAAAGGAAATATTTAAATATATTATCAATCTTCACTTTTCTGTCATTCAATATTTTTATTAATATAGAAAGGTGGTTTTAGAATATATATGTATATATATATTTTTTGGAATTAGGTTTTTCTTTTTCTGGTTCTTTTCCCGATTCCATTATTTCAAATAATTGATACTGATATTTATGTTTTATTGTTCATTAACATTAGTATCAAGTCCTGGTCAGACATGTGTTTATTAATTGATAAGTGCTAAATTATATTCCAAGGGTTGTTACAATTTAATAAGTTTTTTTTGTTGAACCCTGTTGTAGCAACATGTTATTTTATTCTTTTCCAATGCTACAATAAAATATGGTGCCAATATAGTAATCTAACAGTATACTTGACAAACTGGGAAAGCATAGATAGCTGGAATTTTGTTATTGGGAGAGTTTTATTTTTTTGCACCTTTGAATGCGTGAGCAACAAAAATATACTGCATGCATTTTAGAACTATTAATACTGGTTTGGTGTGCATTTGATATTTTTACAATTCTTGCAGTTGTTACAGTTTTATATAATTTCTTGATATAATATTAAGTTATGGTACCTAGTGGCAGTATTTTGTTGCTCTGCAAATACTGAACAGTTATAACACTTTTAGAATGCAACATGGCATCTGTGACAGTTATGAAGTGTTACTCACAATTCTTATAATTCAGATAAAGATGTTAGAATAACTTTAATCAAACCTTACATGAATCAATGAATATCCAAGGTTCTGTTAGTAACATACTATCTAATTTCACTTTTATCAATTTTTATTTAATACGCACTACACTTAAATCTGGAAGCAGACTTCAGAAATGCACACACACCCTTCCATTATTTGTTCTGTAAGCCTGCAAGAAAATTGGACTTTACCAGATATTTTTTTTATACATTTTATTTACGTATTATTTATAAATTTAAAAATCAACTGGTATTATTGTATTATTTTTTAACTTAATCAATTTTTTTAGTGGAATAACTAAATAATAGTAATGGTTGATCTGAACTGATTACTTGAATAAAATTCACAATTTCTAAGATGCAGTCATCTCATAAAAAAAAATCACTGTATATAAATAATATTGTTATAATTTATATTTAACTGTGATTTTCTTAACACTTGTGTGGTAGCTGAATCTTCAAACAAGAAATGTGAAAATTATCACCCACATGCTGGGCTACACAACCCAACATGTCATACTTCTTGCTCATGCTATGTGAAGATTCCAATTCATACAGAGTGCAGGTATTGAATAGGAGGCCTTCATGTAGACAGTGCAATGGGTCAGACTGAATGGCTCCTTCAAGTAAAGTCAGTGACTCCTTTAGATGGCCCATGTACAGCAGACAGACAGCCATGTTGTTCAGCAACTTAAAAACAAATTATTATACATTTTAATTAACATAATCAACAACATGATTTTCAAACTGAAGCCAAAAATCAATTTAAGGCTGAAGGCTCATTATATGCAGTCTTATTATATGAATACACTTTCAACAAGTTAGTCTATTTTTTGTCATGAGAAAAAGTAATAAATCTAATAATCAGTTATTATATAATTTACACAAAATAAGGTGTTATAATTTATCAGTTGACATTGAAATCTCTTCAATTGTTGTTGTATTTTCCGACTTACGTTACACGTAATAGTTTCATTAATATAAAGTAAGCATTAAGAAGTTTTATGCAAAATCCATTGTAAACCACAGACAATATCCATTACGACTGGGATTTTGCATAAAA